AGGGTTTAACGTATTCCATCATGTATTTTTTACAAAACCAACTTGCATGAAAAACTTGTAAAGCTGACGCCTTTGGTGCACAATATCACTTGCTCCCTATTCTTTGAAATATCAAGCTAAATAATGTGCTCGCATGGTTTTATTCATAAATGCAACCTTTTTTTCTCTGTAAATGTACATCTGTGTATGCAGTTTTTATGCAGGAATCAGGCTGTCTAGCGTCCCTAAAATTCCTAAAAAATCCTAATTTTTTTCAGTTTGGCTAAAATTCCTAAAAAAATGAAAAATTCAAAGGGAATTCCTAAAAATGCCCTATTTTTTCATTGAAATTCCTATTTTTTTATCTTTTGTTATAACATATCCCAAAACAACCATTTTTCAATCAAAACTTGAATTTTAACACAGTCAGTGGCGCTGATGTCATGTCTGACTTAATTGCATATAGTCACAAGTGGTATTTACTTCAACTCCTGCAGAAATTACATACTTGATTAATTGCCAGATGTTATCCGAAAAACAAAAAGAAACTGTTTGTTTTAAATGGAACAATGAAAATTGTCTGACTTTGACTATATCAAAATATTCACTTGTTTAAGATAGAGATACAAATTTCAAAGCAAGTTATATTTTTTATTTGCTACAGAGTTTTACCATTTACCTCAGTCTTAGGTGTATTTAAAGGTACCACTAAATTTCATCAGATTTTATGTAGGGGACCTTTTTAAAATAATCTTAATTTGTAATCAAGTGATGACTGTAGAATAGATCTTTTGTAAGTGATACCAGCTGGCAGATCTAGACAAGTTTTCATATTTGGTAATACATGTATTATAAAGTGGGTAAGGTAAACTGGCTGTAATGATTGGATGCTTTTACCATTTTGCATCCCAATTAGTGTACTAAGAAGTGACACCTTCAGCTGCCCTTTTTGTACTCATTAACATTAGTCATACCAATGCAATGTACTGTAAATATGTTTAGTGTATGTTTTTTTTTAATCAGGAAATAAAACTGTTAAAAATCATTGAATATATTGACTCTGTTGTGAAATTTTCTACAATTTTTAGTAGCCCTGATTTATCTCAGTGGTGAATACCCTGCTGTTTGAATTTAGGTTAAAATATTCCTGGGAATGACCTGAGTGGGTTATATCGTTTTTATTGTTTTTTAAGAAAGATCAAGACTTGTTCAAAATGTACCAACCTTTAAATGAATAAATGTTGATAATTTTTTTATGCATAAGCCATTTATAGCTAGAATAAATTTAAAGCATAATTTCTCCTTCCATTTTAATACTATTGGCAAATAACAGCTTAACTAATTGAATATTGGTTATTCCGGGATACTCATAACTTTAAACATGTTTTCATTCTAGTTATGTTTTAATGTAGTTAAGTTTTTCAGCTCTTATTCATAGTAGGCAGTTAAAGGCAGTTGACCAATGAATCCATTTATTCACTGGTGACTATCGAACACTGGTAGACACCTTTGTTATAACTGAACTAGAGCATTATTTGTGAGTTACTTACTTTTGTGTCAAATATGCAAAGTTGAGCCCATATCATGGTCTTTTGGGGCCATGATAAGTTAGTTATAAAATTCCAAATTTTGGCCCTGAAATTTCTTTTACCTACCCTAAAATTCCTAATTTTAGCCCTAAAATTTCTTAAAAATTGCCCTAAAATTTGCCCTAATTTTCTGTCAGAAGGTGCTGGACAGCCTGAGGAATGCCACATTTTTAGTTTGTTACATGTATAAAAAGTGCTGAAGATACAAATTACCTTTATTATAGAAATTTGTTAAAATAACATCATTTAATGGCAGCCATATTGGATTTTGAAGCCATATTGAATTTTCTACCAATGCTACTTAAGCATTTTTCCAAGAAATTACTATTTTTGACCTATAATGTCAATTTATATCATTTTCTAGTCATAAATAACTTCATTTTGGCATGCCCTGTGTACATTTTACATTTTGGCGGCCATCTTGGATTTTGGCGGCCATCTTGGATTTTTTAAAAGTGGATCCCAGGCTGAAATAACTTGAAATACCATTCCTTGACACCATGCCAAGTTTCATGCTTTTCACAGAAGGTGCACATTTTTTTCACAAATTTCTTGGACTATTACACCACTCTTGTTCAATATCATATATTTTCAATAGGCCTTTGTTTGTATATATTACATTAACAGTTAGATATTTTCCTGTATTCTTTTTTACCATTAATGTAGAAATCAATATATCCAACTGACATTTTGCATTTTTTGTCATCTCCAACAATGATTGAATTTGAATCAGTCTAAACTAAAGTATTATAAACATGTGGAAAAATCTATGTTGAATAATGTCATTTACCACACAAACAAACACTGTTTAAATAAAGAATGCTTGTTTAAGACAAGACATTGTAAATTTCGGGATTTTAAAGCAGCAAGCCGCTGGATCATGATAAGTTTAAATAGAGTTAAATAGATTTTTAAAGGATTCAAACTGGAGAAAAAATATCTATTGTATAAGAAATTAATGCATAAACTTTCACATCCAGGTGAAATTTTAATATATTATGCAAAATTTAAGAAGGGTTTCCGGTTAATAATTTAAGCTTCACTTTTCATAGCTTTTACTATGACCCTCTTGTCAGCATTTGTGTTGATTAATCTATTCTTTAATTAATGTCCATTTTCCTATTCACTTCAAACTTTTTTCATGTATATATTATGTTTTACTTCATTGTCATAAAAGGATGCCATAGGGAAGATAATCCTAAAATTATTTTTTTGCAAAGTTATGCCCCTTTGTCTAAGTTGCTTTAATTTAATTATTAAACCATTCAACACTGAGAAAAGTGGAGAGTGTTATCAGCTGATACTGGTCTTGTTACCTGTTATGATGGAGTAGCTGAAATTGTACATAATTTGACAAGTTATAGGTAATATTTCAATGGATAATAAGTGCCTTAAGCTAGGATAAATCATTAAATTGTCAACTTTTCAACATTTACTCTTTGGTGCAGTTTTTTTAAAACTTTAATAAAAGTCAAACAGAAATCTAGAGGCCTGCTGCTTTAAGGTAATACACACGGTTTTATATAAATACATACCTATATTTACGAAGTAAACTAGCAAGGTATTTCGAAACTATTTTTACCCCATTAACACATGGAGGACATAATGTATGTAGGCGAAACTATTTACAGTTAGTAAGGTAGTAAGGATGTCTTTATATGAAATATTAGATTTAATTAATGTTGATGTGTAACCAAAGAATATAACATATGTCACTCCCCTTTAACTTGTAATAGTAGATTTGATATGATGTGTGACTTATAAAGGGTGTTTTTGATTACCACAAAATGAAAAGAGAACATAAATCTTGTTTTGAAAAAGTAAAATAAAAAAAGTGAAAATAAAATCCTCGAAAAAAAAAGGATAATAGGCAAGGATTATTAATATTAAGTTTTTAAGTACTCTTAAAATCCAAAATAATGCAAATATACACATTTTATTGTAAAAAAGCAAATTTGAAATAAAACTAAAATTTTAGTTCACCTGAGCTAGCTCAGGGTGAGCTTTTAGGATCGTTGAATGTCAGTCATCCATCGCCTATTGTTCTTGTACATGTATGTCGTCCATCCACATTTGTTCGTTATAACTCTAGTGGTCACATTTTTGCCTCAATCATCATCAAACTTTGTCATGATGCTTGTTAAGGTAATTGCTTGGATGAGTTCGAACAGGGATCAAGTTTGAATATGGGTCTCCTGGGGTCAAAAACTAGGTCACACTGTTCAAATATGGAGAAACCTTATTAACACTCTAGTGGTCACATTTTTGACTCAATTGTCATCAAACTTGGTGAGGATGCTTGTCTAAGTAATTGCTCAGATGAGTTTAAATTGGCCAGGTGAGCGATCTAGGGCCGCCCTCTTATTTTCTTTCTGTTGGCCTAAAGATTTTAATGTTGATCGCCCGCTAAGCTCAAGTCAGTTCATTTATCTGTGGAAACATCTGCGAGAGAAAAAAGAAACAAAAATATTTTTCCTCCCCTCCGCCTACAACTACACTTCTACTCTACCTTTAACTTATCTTCCCAAATGAGTCTTGAAATATATCTTGTCTTTGAGAAAATGTTCTAACTGGTTACTGGTATATAATTAACTTTCAAGTGCTTTAATAGGTTTTGTATATTTTCAGGTATTTGTTAAGACTGGATTATACTTTGTACATTGAAGAATGAGTTACCCAAAAGCTGAAGTAGAAAAGACTGGGGAGCCAGGTGGTCCTCCCCCTGTTGCCATGCAACCAATGGCTGGGGGTAAATATATTCATATGTTGTAGTATTAAAACTTTAGTCGAAGGCCTATATAATTTTGGATGAAAATGTAAATCAGTATGGTTGAAAAGTAATTGAATGAACAGTAGTAATTTGATTGTTTGGTTGATTGGGTTTTACACCAACACACTATAGGTCATATGGCGACATTCCAGCTTTACTGCTGGAGGAAGACCTCAGGTGCCCTTCCATGCATTATTTTAGGCATACGGGCACCTTAGTAGAACCACCGAAAATGTAGTAGTAGCAGGTATTTGTCTGAAATATATCATAGACACTTGTGTGTGGATTGAACTTGCGATTCATTGTACCATTCACCATAAACCATTAAGTCTGACCATTATGGTACAGTTGTCTTCTCTCAATTTTATTACGTGAATTTGGGATCCTTGATACATAGGATAAACAGTTTAAATATAAATCAATGAACAGAAATCAGTAAATGTTTTAAGAATAGAATCTTATATACAATTGTAACTGAAGTTCAAGTTTTGTATCAAAAGTGATATAAAATTTATAATTTTACCAACCCCTACCCCAGCCCGAAAAAAATACCCCCCAAAAAAACATCTTTTTCAATTGGGATCAAGTTTTTCATTTAAGATTGAGTTAAGACTTTACACTATTATATTCTTAATATTATTATTATATTCTTTCAATAATCTATGAAATTTTCTTGTTATCTTTTTTCAAAAGGACCTCCAAAAGTGGCCCCCCCCCAAAGGGGGCCCAGTAGGGGCCAGGGGCTGGGGAGTTTGAAACCTCAAGAAACCTGTAAACTTGCCCCCCGGGGGTTTGGGAATATCTACCCTCGTAGACAGTTATTGGTCAAACAAAAAGTTGAGGGACTTGAAGGTATTGTTGCCTTATTTCGCAAATTAATTTTTTTTTATCAGTTTTTTTTAATCGAAGCTACAGTCTAACTTGCCCATGCGACCACGTGTATTAAGCGACTTTTGTCTTAAACGACCACTTTAAATTCCCCCCGATCATTTTCTCTCTATATCTTTAATGTATTAAGCAACTTTTGCTCAACGCGACCAGCGACCGCTAATTAGTCACCTAATTGACATCAATCTTTTCATTAAACGACCACTTTTACCTGTCAAGTAATTGTGTTTTTAGAGAACGCCACCTCGTTATGTCACAAGTGTCAGCAATCAAAACACAACACTAAACGTGTGAAAAACTCTATTTCCCATACCGTTTTAGCGTATGCAAATGAAGTTAAGTATACGCGTGACGTGTATTATCCAATAATATCGGATAAACAATGCAACGCTCCGCCCATACTGAGATGGTGTATACGCTTCGCTTGTTGACATTTAGAATGCATTGAATTGACCTTGAACTTGATTAGCCATTAAATTAATCGTAACAAATAGATGTAGTTTGTTTATTTCAAATGAAAAAATGCACAACAGAAAACATCTTCACTAATAGGGTTTTCGTGTTGGAGACAAGGAAAAACAACGGAGAAGTTAAAAAATTCTGGAAAAAATGCCAAACATGTACGTAATGGATCAAAAACTGTTTTGTCAATAAATATCAGAACGTTATTTTTACATTTGCATCCGTTTAGATTATCGGAGTGTACTTATTATTCAACATTTATATAAAAAAATGAAGTTGAAAAACAATCCCATCGAATAAAAAAGATGTCATTTTATAAATTTTGACTTTTATATCATGCTGACTGTCTTAAGAGACCGTTTCATTAAGCGACCGTTTTTGGTGTTTCCCTTGCCCGGTCGCTTAATACACGTTTGACTGTACATGTACATGTCAATTGAGACATTTACCTGCTTTAGATTTGGGTATCTTACTTTAATACCCTCGGGTTAGATTCCAATTATGAACCAGGTACAAAACCCACCCTATTAATTGTTTTGTTTGTGTTATATTTTGGGTTAAATAATTAAATTTAAATTTAAAATTGATTTATTGATTTTTTTGATTTTATTGTTTGATTGATTAAATTTGATTTATGTATATCATACTTTGGGTTGGTTAAATTAAATAAATAGAAAGTACTTACACTTACTTTACAAAAACCCTTTGGATTTGTAGGATGCTGAAAAAAATTTTTATTGAAAACATTCAAATTGTTACTTTTCTTTTTCATGCTTTGGGGATTTAAAAAATTAGGGATTAATTGTGGGGTTATACTAAATTAAATTATTTTATATTTTGTATTTTAAAGCTACCTTTATTCATGATAAGTTTGGTAATTGGCAAAAAAATTTTGATATTAGTATTCAGACTAAAAAAAAATTTTAATGGAATTTTTTTCAGAAAATGGGGGAAAACCCTTAAAAATTTCTAAAGTTTCCGTCCCCTCCCCCCACCAGCCCTTTGCCCTTTTAATCATAAATTTTACGCCCTTAATATATTTTGTTAATTTGTAACTGTATATTCATGTGGAAATATGTGATTTAAATTCAATGTGCTTAAGGTTTGTTTTAATTTTCCAATATTTCAATAAATGTCCCAATTTAAATGTTTCAACTTTGTATAATATTGCAATTATTAAACATTTTCTGCCCCCCTACCAGGAAATTAAAAATTTATTTTCTTTTGCAAACCCGGTTTTTTAGAGCCAGGGGAAGCTTGGAAACTGTGGAAAATCGGAACCCGGCTTCCCCATACTGGGGAGAATTTTACTGTTGTTGTAAACAGATTATTGTTCAAAATAAGGTCACATTACAGAAATTTTTCTGTATAAAATTTTAAAGAGCAATAGTTCTAAAAAATGGGCCCGTTTACTTGAACTTTTTTAAAATTTGGATGTAATTAAAAAAATGGGGAAAACCCCCCAATGTATTTTGCATAGATAACCAAACCCTTTAAAATACAAAGTATTTTTGATTTTGTTTGAATTTGTGTTAAGAAAAAAATTTAAAAATTGAAACCTTAATTTTGGGAAGAAAAACGTGTCATGGGTTTATTAAAGTAAGGGGGTTTTTCCCGGGAGAATTTTCTGATAAATTTTTTTCATATAAATTTAATGAATTTTTAAAAAAAATTATACTTGTTAGTATCCTGTCAGGGTTTTTTCAAGTTAAAAAATCATGCAGCTAGCATGGTAGGTCAGCAATTCTACTCCAGTGCCTGCTTATGTCCCCCCCCCCCCCCCCCCCCCCCAAAAAAAACAAACAAAAAACAAACAAAAAACAAAACAAAACAAAAAACAAAACAAAACAAAAAAAAACAACAACAAAAAAAACAAAACAAACAAAAACAACAATAACAAAAAAACACACAAAAGGACACAAGAGGTTTACTGCTCAAAGAAAGCTTTAAAAATTGCTCATTGATCTAAACAGAGTTGTTAAAGAAATCTAATTTGATCCCATAGTTGTTACACACCAATCCCACTTGGAAAGTCGCCATTACTTATTCATAAATAAATCAGATAATGAGGAGACATTGTTTATTAAACAGATTGTCTTTAATTATAATAACAATAAAAATTGAGCTTGTGTTATACATATAGATAGAATTACAATTGAAAATCAGACAAGAAAAACATTGACATACATTTGTTATAGATCAACATTACAGATATGAACATGTTTGCTTGTAACATATGTTTGCTATCTTATTGAGTATAATTTTCTATGATATTATATTATAGTAAATTAAATCATGTGAATATTTCTATTTACAGCTTTTACAGGCTATGAAACAAACAACAAGTATGAAATAGTGAATTCACTCGGACAGAGGATATTCTATGCTGTAGAAGGTACAGTCTAAAAATAGAAATAAACCAGTTTGTGTTACTATATATAGAAAAAGGCCATATTGAAGTAGATATGTGTGTTTAATGTCTCTTGACTTGATTAAACATAGTATAGAAGCATAGTATTCTTAAAACAGCTTAGTATTTTAGTGTTAATGAGTCCATAATATTATGTGTGTACATTTTTAGCTAGACTTTTTGAAGAATAAGGGAAGCTAAATTGTACTCAGCCAAGATGTCTTTCACTTTTGGTAAGTTTTTATATTTGGGAAAAGTAGTATCTTCCCCAAAAACTACTAAGAGAATAGGTTAAAACTTCCACCTAATAGGAGGTTAAATTGATCTAAGGGGCCTGATAAACTCCAATATTGGATTACTTTGACATTTATTTATGGGCCCCTTTGTAAAGCTATAAAATTCATTGTGTATATATACATATAAACACATAGAGAAATAGTAAGCCGAGCCGGAACTATAAACAGCTTTTGTTAGGGAGCTAAGATTTAGGTGCATTTAGAATTCTCCCATGTTTGTTATACCAAACTTAGTGTTTTTAAAGTCATCAATGAGTTCTATGAAAACTTTTTTATTTATGAACCTTTAGATTTAGTTTTGAGAAAATTTGTGTTTCAACTATTGTTCTGGAAGAAACTTTACAGCTTAAAATATGCATCAAGAATTTCAAATGAATTTTTGATAATGTGTATTGTAAAAAATTTGAAAACAAAATAGTTTTCACAATATTTTGAAATTATACATGAATGAGGATTAAAACAAGTACATTTTAGTCACTTTTGTAAGTTATAGACTTTGATTTCAATTTGAACAATGTGTTGTAAAATTTGAATACAACTAGTGCTCACAATATTAAAATAATAATAATGTAGATTAACACAACTTCACTTGAATTGCTTTCTGCAGTTACAGACTCGTTTCTCTTTTAAAGAAAAATATATCAACCATTTGCATTGATAGTTAGATAGTAATAAATGATTATGTATGCTACAGATACATGTTTTGTTTATTAATCGGTTTCTGTTTGACATTAAGAATCCGAACAAACAAAATTGATTTGTTTACAAAAAGTTTTTGCAAGGGTAATACTGAATCTTGAATTTTAACATTATTATATATTGATGCTTCTTGATTTAAAAAAATCCTGAGATTTAAGACAAAATTTTGTGTTGAAGCTTTAATAACTGCAAGGCCTGGGTAAGAGGTTATAAAGAAATTATCTCAAACTCTGATCTCAGGTATATGATTTGGTTAGAAACAGGCACAGAATATTTATATTGTAGCCCATCAACATAAAACTTTGAATAATTGCCAACCTTAACAAGGTGCTGTTGTTAGACAAGGAGCATAATTGTGGAAGCTTTATTTTAAGAGTTTTGCCCTAAATCTAGAATTTTTGGCAAAAATTGTTATTTTGCCAGAGGAGTGTTAATACTACATGCAGTGCTCTTGTTAAATCTTTAATGTGAAGCAGCTAGCTGACAGCAGGTTGTTCATTCTACTCAAGATATTTACTTATCTGACCTTAAAACCAGTATTGATGGTCAATTAAAATTAAAACATACATATTTATATATGATTACAGAAAGTGACGGTTGAGGCACCAGCAGGTCATGTGATTGGCTACGTATCACAGGCATGGAGTATCTGTAAACCAAGGTATAAGATCCAGACAGCTAATGAGGAAACAGTGTTGAGAGTTAAAGGACCATGCTGTACATGGAATCTCTGTGGTGATATTGAATTTGATGTAAGATTTTATATCATTTATTATACATCACAAGTATTGGTAATAGCATTTTGATTTATGTTTTTTTAGAGTGGTTTTTTTCAGTGATTCAGAAGAAAACAGCAACCATTTTAAAGAAATTTTCTGTTTTAATGGTGCAGTGAACTCTTTGATAAAAACCTAATAAAATAATTTCTTGATTACCCACACCCCCCACCCCCGAAAAAAAAATGGTCGGAAAAAGGCAGTGTTTCTTTCCCAATTTAAAGAACTATGATTAAGTGATTTCCACTTAATGGGAGACCATTTGTAAATACTGCTATAAGTATTTCCTCATTTCACACAATAGGTTCTTTAAGTTTGCTTTTTTGGCCTTTCATCAGCAGATTAAGTTTCATATTGTTTTGACTTGATGGTCTGTAACTTGCCATAACTTTTTCATTTTATAAAAGTTATAAATTCAGCCAAATTTGGCATTATATGATTATACAAAGCATTATACTGGTTACAAAATTGTCATGCAGTACTAACATTCTAACAAATTATTTTTACCCAATGTGATGATATGATTTCCCATTATAGATTACAACTGCTGACGAGACGTCATTCTGTGGTCGTATAACAAAGCAGTGGTCTGGTTTGGCAAAGGAAGCATTCACCGATGCTGACAATTACGGAATTTCATTTCCCATTGACCTTGATGTGAATGTAAAAGCCGTCCTGGTCGGAGCCGTTTTCCTCATTGTAAGTTGTTTCATTTATATCACACTGCGGTGAGTTTAATTGGGATTGGGTTTATATTATTAGTTACACAAGTTGCTTATGGGATGTATGGGAGAATATAGCCTGAATGCAGACTTCATGAGATAAATGATACCAGAGTCACTAGCCAACAAATTGTTATTGACTACAGCACTTGGTCTATTGACTGTTTTCAAAGGAATTTTTCA